AAAGGTCAATACAAACTTTAAGATATTTTCTAGCCGTCAACTATACTTTAATCAAGATAAACAAACCGACCTCTTTTCCTGGAACAGAGTAGTAACTGTCAAAATACATTATCGTGTTTCCATTGTTCTTTTGTTTTCCTTTTACAATTTATTTTCTAGTTAGGGAGCAAACGTTGAGGGAGCTCTGTACTACCTCCAGACGGAAATAAACCAGCCACAAGAGGAAAATTTCAATATTTTCAACAATTTTTCGAAGTTGAAAAATCCGAAAACACCACCCGAAAGTACTCAAACTTGCGAATCCGATTGGCGCAACGAATGAAAAAATTCGCCAATTCAACCAATGCAGACAACTTTCAAGACGACTTACTCAATTCAAGATAAATTCATGCGGATACAATAGAACTTATCCGAAATTTGCGAATGTTGATCATTTTTGAGCGGCAAAATATTCATGGCGCGATTTCCATGAAAGACCTGACATCCGACCAGCGCCGAGCTGTAGTTGACCACCTTCTCTTGCGCATTGTACAGGGACCCTGCAAGCTGCAACGTGGTGCGATACAAGACGTCGCTCGATTGTTTGACCACAATCGCCACACGATTGCTGACATCTGGAAGCGTGCCAACGTGTCGCTGGGCTACGGCGACCTTCCAGCACGTGAGTTGGTCTGCGAGGACGTTCCGAGCCAAAAGAAAGGCCATGTTGAGCATAAGCTCAAATACAGTGACCAGCCCGAGCATATCAGAGCCGTACCAGTAGCGCTGCGCACGACATTGAGCTACGTTGCCCACGCTGTTGTGTACCTGTCAGTACCCTTAAGGACTACTACAAACGCGGAACATTGGTAAAGTACTACTCCAACGTAATGCCTAAGCTAACCGACGTGAACAAAACAGCCCGCGTAAAGTGGGCCATGGACTCCGTCCACCCGACCGAGCTCTGGTTCCACGACATGTACGACTACGTACACGTAGATGAAAAATGGTTCAATGCATCCCGAGTCAAGTCTCGTTACTACCTCCTCCCCAGCCTGGACCCTCCCCACCGCACGACCCAGAGCAAACATTTCATCACAAAGGTGATGTTCTTGACCGCCGTGGCTCATCCTAGATGGGATGATGCGAAGTCAAAATGGTGAGATGGCAAGATCGGGACGTGGCACTTTACCGAGACTGTCCCAGCTGCACGGTCGTCGCGCAATTCGCCCGACATCATCGAGTGCGCCAACACAATGAATGTTGTGCTCGAGATGATTCCACGAACAGTACCTGCATCTGGATTTGCCAGCCGATCTTGATTGGATGAAGCCTGTAAGGGCGGCAATGCATTTGACATGGGTGAGCTACATGCGCCATGAGATCTTAGTTCAAGGGAAGAAGGAAACTTTCAAGCTTCGCCCACCAGGCCGCTCGTAGAATGGGTAAACGAAGCATGGGAATCGTTGCCGCGGTTTACAATCATTATTCGTGGGTTAGTGGAATACAACATCATTGATGCCATACCAAGCAATGTCACCTTCAAAGCTCTTCTCGAAGGCCGTTCAGGAGACATTGATTCTGTCATTCACACCGTGCGTAGTGGAGGCATGTCTGTCGTAGAGTTGGATAATACTCCGACTTGACGGATACCTGCGGCCATCTTGAAGACAATCCCAATCCTAGGGCTCCTCTGGATACAACGTGGTGCGATACAAGACGTCGCTCGATTGTTTGACCACAATCGCCACACGATTGCTGACATCTGGAAGCGTGCCAACGTGTCGCTGGGCTACGGCGACCTTCCAGCACGTGAGTTGGCCTGCGAGGACGTTCCGAGCCAAAAGAAAGGCCATGTTGAGCGTAAGCTCAAATACAGTGACCAGCCCGAGCATATCAGAGCCGTACCAGTAGCGCTGCGCACGACATTGAGCTACGTTGCCCACGCTATTGTGTACCTGTCAGTACCCTTAAGGACTACTACAAACGCGGAACATTGGTAAAGTACTACTCCAACGTAATGCCTAAGCTAACCGACGTGAACAAAACAGCCCGCGTAAAGTGGGCCATGGACTCCGTCCACCCGACCGAGCTCCGGTTCCACGGCATGTACGACTACGTACACGTAGATGAAAAATGGTTCAATGCATCCCGAGTAAAGTCTCGTTACTACCTCCTCCCCAGCCTGGACCCTCCCCACCGCACGACCCAGAGCAAACATTTCATCACAAAGGTGATGTTCTTGACCGCCGTGGCTCATCCTAGATGGGATGATGCGAAGTCAAAATGGTGAGATGGCAAGATCGGGACGTGGCACTTTACCGAGACTGTCCCAGCTGCACGGTCGTCGCGCAATTCGCCCGACATCATCGAGTGCGCCAACACAATGAATGTTGTGCTCGAGATGATTCCACGAACAGTACCTGCATCTGGATTTGCCAGCCGATCTTGATTGGATGAAGCCTGTAAGGGCGGCAATGCACTTGACATGGGTGAGCTACATGCGCCATGAGATCTTAGTTCAAGGGAAGAAGGAAACTTTCAAGCTTCGCCAACCAGGCCGCTCGTAGAATGGGTAAACGAAGCATGGGAATCGTTGCCGCGGTTTACAATCATTATTCGTGGGTTAGTGGAATACAACATCATTGATGCCATACCAAGCAATGTCACCTTCAAAGCTCTTCTCGAAGGCCGTTCAGGAGACATTGATTCTGTCATTCACACCGTGCGTAGTGGAGGCATGTCTGTCGTAGAGTTGGATAATACTCCGACTTGACGGATACCTGCGGCCATCTTGAAGACAATCCCAATCCTAAACAATAATTTTGCATTATTTCCATGATCGCAGCATTGTGTCATAGCTGGTGTGTCATATCTGGTCAGCAAAGACGCCAACATAGACGTCAAAGTCGCCTGGCACACCCATAGACAGAGACGAACGCTGGTATCCGGCGCAGCAAACCAATGGGTTAGGCCGAGGCGGTCCCCACGACTACTTCGCGCGGCCGATTGTCAATGCTCCCTATAGGGCCCGACGTCCTGGAGGATCCATGAGATCCCATCATTGGCTGCTGGGGTTGGCCTTGAGGGCTTCGAGAGCATCTTTGTTTCTGTACTGGGGGAGGCATTTCCGGATTCCGTATCACGATGGCGTCGAGGAGTCGAATTGAAAAGTGAGGAAATCGGAGGAAATCGTAGGATGTCACAGCTGTGCATGCGTTCTCTTGACTACACAATGATTTACCCTCATTCATGACTCTAAAATTGATAAATCGCGGTATTTCCTGAATAGGTTTTTGCACATCCACCTTCAAAGCTCTTCTCGAAGGCCGTTCAGGAGACATTGATTCTGTCATTCACACCGTGCGTAGTGGAGGCATGTCTGTCGTAGAGTTGGATAATACTCCGACTTGACGGATACCTGCGGCCATCTTGAAGACAATCCCAATCCTAAACAATAATTTTGCATTATTTCCATGATCGCAGCATTGTGTCATAGCTGGTGTGTCATATCTGGTCAGCAAAGACGCCAACATAGACGTCAAAGTCGCCTGGCACACCCATAGACAGAGACGAACGCTGGTATCCGGCGCAGCAAACCAATGGGTTAGGCCGAGGCGGCCCCCACGACTACTTCGCGCGGCCGATTGTCAATGCTCCCTATAGGGCCCGACGTCCTGGAGGATCCATGAGATCCCATCATTGGCTGCTGGGGTTGGCCTTGAGGGCTTCGAGAGCATCTTTGTTTCTGTACTGGGGGAGGCATTTCCGGATTCCGTATCACGATGGCGTCGAGGAGTCGAATTGAAAAGTGAGGAAATCGGAGGAAATCGTAGGATGTCACAGCTGTGCATGCGTTCTCTTGACTACACAATGATTTACCCTCATTCATGACTCTAAAATTGATAAATCGCGGTATTTCCTGAATAGGTTTTTGCACATCACATCTACCCACATTACAAACCTTTCTAAACTGATGGTCTCTATGCTTTTGATTTTTATTTCTTCGCCGAATATTAAAAACACAGTGATTCTGTTTAACTGCCATCTGCCTTGTCACTCTATTTCAAAAATGACAAATAATCAGCTAAAGTATGTGGACAATCGTGTGGTGTGATTCTGCATCCCAAGTACGCTGACGTGTTGAACACAACGTGTCCACCAGCGAGAACTTTGTGGTGTATTGGTCGTGTAAAGAGCAGTTCTTTTTCGAGGGGTGCCGATTTTAAACGAAGCAATGTCCCACAGCTTCGACTCGCTTTCGATGACATCGGGTGAGCAACAAGATTTCGAGGAAGCTATGATTCAGCACTACGGGCGTCACAGCACGGAGCTCACGAGCACATACTAGATTGATGGACTTTGTGGTGACTTTTAATGGGCTGTAGACGCGACATCGCTCCAGCAACGCCAGAACATATCACAAACCAGAATTCCCATGGTGGAATTAAACACGTTTCGTGGAACCATTCAGCGAAATGGTCTTCGCGAAGGGCAACTAGCCATTCCAAAGGCAATATACGTGCAATCTGCTGGAATTTCAGCTACGTACGTACGTGCACACCACATCTTGAGGATGTCGGCCTTGGCTTCGACAAAGTTGGCCGGGTCGACCAGATGGTATCGATGGCGGTGTCGTCCGCTTCATATGCACGTACAGCACTTTGTAACGTGGACATCGGGCCACTTCTGTCGCAGAGTTGCCGCGATATATGTGGCGTGATCTCAGCACCCTTGTTCCCACATCAGCTAAGGACTATTATGCACTGCCCTTCCTTGGGAAGGAGGGAAAATCTGAAGAACGAATGCAATGCCATTTCTGTCACGTCAATGAGCTTCCTGTACGCTTCTTCGCACTCTGTGCGAACGAACATGCACGCACATGGAATTAACCTCTGGCGAAAATGGCCGTCACAATACTTTGTACAGACTGGCCCCAGGTCGATCAAAGTCCACCCTCCTAGTATTGTCGATTCATTTTGAGAGTTTTGATTGAGCTATCAAAAACCAAAGTGCAACATTTACGTGCCCTTCGTGGACATCAAAAGTCCCTCCATCTGGCGATAGTATGCATGAGGTGCGTTCCACATGTTTGACGGGAGGCAAGTCCGGCCATGTTCTTTTTTTCCCACCCACTGCCGCGATTTCGAACTAAGGTGTTGTTTGCGATTCTTCAGTAGTCGCAACGTGGGAAGAAGCGCCAGGTAGACTGAGTTTTGTTCATGTCATGTCTACAAATCCACCTAGTTAAATATTATTGAGCACGACATCGACTTGAATACTTCCTCCGTTCCAAAAAGAAGTTTACCACTTTTTTGGCATCAAGTTTATATGAAACAAAGTATTGCCAACTCCCAAAATACCATATGATTTGTGTATTTTTATTCATATTTGGAATTTTACGACGAAGGACAGAATGATCTCATGCATGCATATTGCCTAAATCATGTTATCGTGAATTTCACATGTCGACTGGAACTGTTGAATAACATTGTCCACGCTTTGTACAAAGTCGATTCGCTCTTCCATCGCCTCAATAGCAGCGTACGTTTCCTCGTCGCATTCAACACGTTGACACAATGGACCGTTCTTGAGCAGCTTGTCTTTGCTTGCATGAGGTATCTTGTACACATTGTCACCATCCATCTTCAACACACACTCCATCACTTTCTGCAAAGTCATGAATGTCTTGTCCAAGACCAAGGGATCCAAGTCGTCATAGGCCTTGCTGACCGCCAGAACGAGCTCTTCAATCGTGTAACTCGCTGTTTGGTGTTGCAAACTTTGGATCGCATTGAAAAATCCTAGGTCCAACACATTCATGTCAGGACTTTGGGGTGGCTGGGCACAGAGACGGATGTCCCATCCATCGGATTGTCCAGCAGCAAGAACAGGAGCATCGTGGACAGCAACATGAGGTCGTGCGTTGTCTTGTTGCACCCAAATGGTCTTGGTTCGACGGTCAGGCCAACGCGACTTGATCGCTGGTATCACCTTGTCAACCAAGCACGAGCGGTAGACTTCCTTGGTGACCACGACCGGCTCCGTGATGGCATCCCCGCAATTGAAGTTTTTGCTGTTCCGCAACGCCAGTCGAACCATCGTGAACGGCCACGTGCCGATCTTTCCATCCCATGACTTCCTTCGATGTGCGTCGAACCTTGTACGCGCCACAGCCGTCAGAAACATGACCTTCATGAGGTGTCGCTTGGACTGACACTTCCGCATAGGCACCGGCTCATCGTTCCAAAGGTAGTAGCGACGATTCACCTTCGAAATGTAAAACCATTTCTCATCTATGTGTACCGTGTCCAGCATATCATGCCAATGCACCGTGTCGCCATGGCCTCGCCGAAGGAAGCTCTTGACAAATCCCAAGCGTTCCGCCTTGTGCTTGTCCGTTAGCATGGGTTTGAGCCTGCTTGTGCATCGTTTCAGTGCCTTCGTCTGCAGAAGACGCCACAGTGTCGTCTTGGGCACACCGGAAGACGTGGATAAGGACCGTAGTGTCGAACGCTTGAACGAAGGCACTGCTGTTACCTGTGCGCGCACATTGGCAAGGTCCCGGTTGGCACGGCGGCCACTGTTCGACTTGATCAAAGAATTGACCACGGCGACACCGGTTGCA